ACACACAATCACGCGCACTTACTCAGACACAAGCAAACGCACACACTTTATCACACACACATATCCATACACACACACACACACACACACACACACACACACACACATACACACACACAAATACACATACATGATAGTTCCCACCCCCATCTTTCACATTTCTTCGCCACCACGTACTTAACAGTTCATTGGGTTTTTTTCTGAGTGCTTTGTCAGCACCTAGCATGTCATTCATCAAAATATTATTGTGTTGAAAACAAACTGTCATTTGCCGGCATTAAAACTCACAGCATATCTTGCGAAATTCCAGCGCATGCCTGATTGTCTTTTTAGTTGTTTGTTTAACCCCTCTATTGTTCGTTTCCTTTTTTGTTGTTGTTCGTGTGTCTGTTTTTCTGAATAACAACGTGTAGTTTTGTTATTTTATGATGGCAGTGGTTGGGTTAATTTTTGTTTTTGCGTCATGAAGTATGAGTTGCTTTCAGATCTGTTGATTTAACTAATGCCAGTTCTTTGCTGGTTGTCGTTGTTGTTGTTTTGTTGTTGTTGTAGTTGCTATCGCTTTTGTGAGTGTTGTTGTTGTTGTTGCTGTTGTTGTTGTTGTTGTTGTTTTTGTTTTTGCTTCTGTTTTTGTCGTAGTCATTGTCGTCGTCACTGCTGCTGTTGTTGTTGTTGTTGTTGTTGTTGTTGTTGTTGTTGTTGTTGTTGTTGTTGTTGTTATTGTAGCTGCTCAGTGGTTTGTGAAAATGACACTAATGCAAAAGGAAAAGGACACACACGATTTTTTCCATACATTCATTGGCAACAAAATCTGTTCTTTTATCTACGTCCGGTTGACATCATAAGGTGCTTTGCGTGATGTTCTTGTGTCTTTGTTTACAGAAATACGATCATCATCATCATCATCCTTATTATTATTTTCCACATCGTACCGTAACACATTCTAAAACTAAAACAAGCTAACAAAGCTGTGTTTATTTCTGTTCATGTAATCGAAATGCATTTTCTTTCAATTTAGTACTGGCCTAAGGGGCAGAGCTTAGACACCTCACTGTCTCACGCAGAAGACATGAGTTCGATTCCCAAGTGGAGATAATTTTTATCGAGTATCTCGTTCTCTCTGCTGGGACGTTGTACATCTCTCCGCAAATACCATTTCGAAATATCAGGCAAGACCGAAGCTCGCATCCTAAATGTTCTAAATTGTATCAATTGTGGCTTTAAAACACATTTTCAAGCAGAGAAAGAGAGAGACAGAGAGGGAGAGAGAGAGAGAGAGAAAGAGAGAGA